TACTGCGCAGAACCCTCAAACTCCCAGGCCTCTGGTAGAGGACCCAAGATTGAGAAAGACACGTACCACCCACAGGGGTGAGAGAAAAAATTTTTTTTTCAAATATTTCACCGAGATCTGATGTCAAATGGGCCAGCTAAGTGCATTTTTCAATGGTTGTTGAACAGAAGGAAGACATGGATTTTATTTGTATTTGCAGGATATATATAAGGAGAATACAGGGTTCTGTGAAATCTTTTAATACAGTACAAATAAAACCAGACTTGCAACTTATGAATTGTCAGCCATGAGGTCAGTAAAGGCCTTGCTTTGTGTTCCGAGGTGCATTAGGCACTGGTGTAGTACAAATCTTTCTTGGAAGTGACTCTAAGTTGTAGAACTCTTCTGCTTCTGGAAACGCATATGTCTTCTTGCACATGTGCACAAAATACACATCCCCTATAAAGATTTTTTTCCCCAACCTTTGGTTAAGAATGACTTTTAGGCTGTCAGGTTTCTTGCTATACAAGTAGTCCCTAGTTTAAAAACGAGTTCCATTCCCAAGGTCTGACCTTAAGTTGAATTTGTATGTAAGCTGGAACAGTATTATTGTATAATACTGTATAAGTAGTATTTGGTAATGAATTTGAACCATTGTGTATTTAACTTGAATTTTGCTACAATGGTCTCCATTCTTAACTATGGGTCATCCTTAAACTGGGCATTCTTAACCTAGGGACTGCCTGTACATTAGTATGTAACCATGTGAATTGTATTTTTGTTTTATGATGTTTTATATTTTGCAAGCACAAAGATAAGATATACTGTAAAATAGTAATAGTGACAGTGATGACGACATTTAATGAATTAATTGTCTGCTTTATAGGCCACTTCATCCATACAGACTTTGGGTGGCATACAATAATAAAATAATAATATGAAGAAGAACAAGAAGATGTCAACAGTATGGTGGATTGCAAAAGGCCCAATCCAATTTTACCTATAACAATAGAAATAGAGTTTCCAAATAGAAATAGAGTTTTCTAATAATGAAAAATAATATTTCTGTTCTATCCTCTGCTGATCACCTTTAGTCTTATGTCCAGCTCTGGGGACCACACAGTAAGAATTAGAAACGTTGAAATTGTAAACCAAGACCCAGAATGATTTCAAAGGAAGAAAAATAATTTATCAACCCAGTTCTTTCAGCATTCTCCTTTATCAGAGTTCTGGTAGTACAGAGAGTTATAGTAAAATGTGCAAATAAAACTGAAGACTGAATGGGCAAATTACACACACTAGCAAAAAGTGTGAGATGGGATCCCCTACACACTTTTTGCTCTCTGATTTTAAGGAATACATTTAAAAGTCTAGTGTTGGTAGATTTTTTTCAAAATAGGTTTCAATCTCATTTGCTTAGGAATTCAGAAGATTGAGGTTATCACTGATCTATCCCCATGGATAATGTAGTGAACTGCAGGCTGATGGTCAGTGTAAGGGGGAAGGACAGAGATCAATAGGCAACAGTTTTCCAGTCATACAACTTCTATACTTCTCCAGGTTTGGCATTCCAAATTTTGAGGCCTGCACTAAAGCTTCAAACAGGAAATCTGAAGTCTCTTGTGAGGATATGCCTTCAATCTGTCTGTGTCTCTCTAGTGAATTTGAAAGAGAATAAGTGCTATCTGTGGCATGATGAGAACATCAATCTCACAGTTCAGGAGAAACAATAGAGCTATTGGGGGAAAACAGAGTCTTCTTGATCCAACTTGTTCTTTGATATAGGAGGTATTCTTCAACTCTTTTCTGGGTAGCAAGAAGGGGAAAATAGTTACACTTTAGTTGGGTTTAAAGTGATCTAATTTACAGGTAGGAGAAGATGGGAAGCACTGCTGTGATTCAGCAAGGAGAGGCAGTTGCAAAATGATTGTAATATCGCAGTTGCTTTTGAAGTGCGGACAAATGTTCCTTTTCCTTCATATCCCACCTTTGGTTCATTTACATTATGCTTGAAGCATGAAAACTATTTGTGCTCTCTCTTTCCCTCTCTCTCTCTCTCTCTCATTCTCTCTGTCTCTCCCTCACACACACAAATATGCATACACATATCCTACAGAGCTGGAATTCTGCAACCAATAGTTTTCAAATCAATATGATCTCTATTCTGAGATGTTTAAACAAAGAATATCACCAAAACTTTTTCCTACCATTAAAAAAAAGAAAAAGAAAAAAAGAAAATGAAAATCTCTGCTCTGCCCATCTGTGTATGTCAAGCTATCTTGGGCTAAGAAAGTGATTGGCCAAAAGTACAGGTAGTTCTCGCTTACTGACCATTCAGTGACCATTTGAAGTTGTGATGGCGCTGAACAAGTGGAACTTATGACCAGTCCTCAAAGTTCCACATGCAGCACCTGCTTCCCCCAGCTTTCCCCAACCAGCTTGCATTTATGACAGCTGCAGCACCCCATTCTCACATGATCACCATTTGCCCCCTTCCCTGCCAGCTTCCCACAGGAAAAATCAATAGGGAAGCTGGTAGGGCTGGTCACAATTCACTCTGGCAAGTCCTTTCAGCCTCCCTGCTCTCATGCAGTGCCATACCATTCATTCCCTGACTTCCCTGCACTTGCATGTACTGCACCATTCATTCCCCTGGCCTCCATGCACTCACATGGTGCCACAACACACCCTCCCCTGTCCTCCCGCAACTCACCCATGGCCTGTGCTAGGATGCCCAGGGTCTTCTCTGGCCTCCCCCACCACCCCACGGCACCCCATGCTCTTTACCTGGGACTCCCTGCTTAACGGCCCATGTGTCTTGGGGTTACGATGGCAACAGGACTGCAAGGATTGTCATCACTAAGTGATGTGGTCACATGACATTGTGCTTTACAACCACTTTGCTTAGCAAAGCAATCCTGATCCCACTTGCCATCAAACCTCAAGGACTACCAGTAGCCCAGTTTCTATAGCTGAGGGTGGAGTTGAACCAGCATCTCCCCTGTGGTTGTCCAACATGCTGGCCACCATACATACTGATATTTGAGAAGGCTCAATTTAGTTTCCCTTCCAACACCTCAACCCTGTACTAAAAATAAATTAATTTCCAATATTGCCTTCATTCAGTACCTCTCCTATTAAGAAGACTGTTGTACATGGACAATGTTTTGATTGTCAGTTTCAAAGAATGTGCTTATGCCAATAACAGAAATAAAGGAAACACAAGGTTAATGTGCCATGATCTGTAGGGTTTGCTTGCTTGTTCTTTTTGGTGGCATTCACTGTTTGGGTCACCAGAACATTCCTTTCGAGATGTGTACTTAATGTACTATTCTACTACATTGAGGGCTATCAAATAATTCTACAACTAAATCCTGCCTCCGAAATCCTCTGATTTCAATATAAAATAAAGTGGAGACAAACTATTTGATGCCTTTGTTTCCTTGCACAGGGAAGGGTTAAAGAAGGCACAGTAGGGTAACAGTAGACCAGCTAGATCTGTCTCCTTCTTCATGAACCGAAGAGAAAAAGCCCATATTCTCTTGAGTAGTTATGCAAAATACCAGAAATGGCCAGCATACAAATAAAGCAAAAAAAGGGGGGGGAGAAATGGGGCTCTCCCCTTTTCTCTTTTAAAAGCTCACAGGAGAGAGAGAGAAGGAAAACTTTCTGACCTCAATGGCTGTTTTGGAGTCGGAATTTCTCAGGTGATGCTGAACTCTGCCAATTGTCTAAATTGATCCATTAATGATTTCATATTTGAAACACTGGAACTGTTTTCGCCCCTTCATCTCAAATATCAAGAGCAGAAAGGTATTAGTAAGAATGAAGGAGATCAAAGAGGTTAAGCAGAACTCTACCATCAGTTATATTGTCTCAAGGATGGATGACTTCAGATTACATTTTATCACCCTTACGTATTTTGGAGGAAACAACATTGCTACCAGGAAGATTATTGAGATCACCATCCATAACTGCTACTTTATATAGTACAGCAAAGGGCGCTCTCTGCTAAACTCATTCCTGTTTTCTATTCATTAGGTGTTCCCTGCAGTTAAGGCTGGGCTTGAACAAAATGATATAACATTTGGGAAAAAAGATGCAGCCCAACAAACCAGCACTAGAGGTTAAGATAGAAAATATCTCCACAGCCACCATGTATTTCCCTTTAGTGCTCAGGTAGGTTGGAACGAAGGAGAGCCACACGCTGCAGAAGACCAACGTGCTGAACGTGATGAACTTGGCTTCATTGAAAGTGTCAGGTAACTTCCTGGCCAAGAATGCAACTATGAAACTAATAACAGCCAAGAAGCCCATGTAGGTGAGGACACAATAGAACATGGTCTCAGATCCCTGATTACACTGCAGGACAATTTCTTCAACCACTGAGCGCATGTCAAACTCTGGGAATGGCGGAGAGGTTGCCAGCCATAACATACAAATGGCTGTTTTAAGAAGAGAGCAGGGAATGACCAGGGAGTTGGAGAATCTCTTTCCCACAAACATTCTCATCCTGGATCCTGGCTTGGTGGCCAGGAAAGCCAGAACCACGGTGACTGTTTTTGCCAACACTGAAGAAACAGCCACGGAGAAGGAGATGCCAAAAGCAACTTGTCGGAGGAGACAGATCACTGTGTTGGGACGGCCAATGAAGAGGAGTGCCGAAAGGAAGCAGAGCAGGAGGGAGGTGAGGAGAACGTAGGTGAGGTCTCGGTTATTGGCTACCACAATGGGAGTGTTGTGTTTCCTCACAAAGATTCCAAGCACAAAGGCTGAGAGCAAAGAAAAGAAAAGAGCAAAGAAGGCTAAACTGATCCCCAGAGGTTCTTCATAGGTCAAAAATACGACATCCTTAGGATTGCAGGAATCCTGATTGGTGTTTGGATAGCTTCCATCATTGCAAGTGTAGCATTCTTTACTATCTGAAAAAAATAAACAGAGAAATAATATGGTCTTTAACTTAGGAACCTTTCCATAATACAGTGTACATGTCAGCAATTCATTGCTAGTACCAATGTTTTTTATGATACTGTATGATATACTTTGACAGGGTTCAATTGTGATATCCGTAATGGAATGTCAGTAAAATATGTTCCCAAGATAATTGCAGCCAGTTTCTCAAATTCATGCATTCAAATTTCTGTATCTCTTAAAACACCGAATCACTACCACAAATTCTAAACAAAATGTAATATAAAAGGTATTCCTTTCCTCATCAAAGCATTAGTGATGCCTTTGGTATCTAGAGAGAAAGGTGTCAGGTTTCTGAGAATGGTTTGCAATTTTAACTTTTCTGGACAGAACAATGTTTGCTTGTCTCAGTGGTAAGTGAAGTCAGACCCTAGTTCAAAAGTTTTTATATTTGGGTTATAATAGCAATGGCCAACCTCCAGGCTTTAGTATTCATATTTTAGAATTATAAAAGGAAAATACCCTGCTTACAAACGGTCCTTCCACATTGCTCTAGACAGCCACCATTTTCCTTGCTAATTCCAAGCAGCAATTTCCTTACCCTCCTTCTCTGAAATCTTCCCATCTGGGCACGGGACGCAGTCGTAGCAGCAAAAGGGTTCCCCTTCCTTCACTTTCTTGCTGGAACCAGGACGGCAATTCTCACTACACACTGAAAGAGGCTGAGACTAATCCAGCAAGGAGAAAAAACAATGGCAATCTTCACTGTATCACTTGGCATAGTTTGAGATACTCTTTTTATTGATATATGAATGAACTAAATTACATACACTTAAATACTGTAGATGCTACAATTTTACATTATTGAAAGAATCAACATTGTGCATAGGATTTTAGAAAGCTCTTTTCCATTTAGGAAATGAATTGATTATTCATTGGTCAACACTGGATGACAATAGATGTTAAAATCCCATCATCTTAAAGGGGAACAATTGCCAGATTTTCTATTTGTATAGTTGTGGCATGTCATGACTAATGATCTATTCTTGTTAGGTAGAAGCAATATGTCACCATGGTTAGTGCTCTGGAAATAACATTTTTGCTCTGGAAGAGTGTAAATAAAGTAAAAATAAAGTTTTATCTTATGGTTTTAAAATGATACATTCATAAGAACAGGAAATGATGAAGAAACATGTGGAGTCTTATCTTACTTATCTTATAGTATTACTATTATTATTTACATGTGATAAAGGACTTCATGGCTGGTGAAAAAGCAGAAGCTTTCAAAAATGCCCTGATTTTGAATTTTACCTGGTTAAACCAGCTGTGCCAAGTGATGGCATCTTTATTAATGGTGAAGGTCTGGTCTGTGGGAAATCCAGAAATTACCTTCCCAACTTTCACTCTAACAAAGGATTGGTTTGAAAAAACAATCCAGTTCATTACATCCAGACCAGCTAATAATTCACCATTGGCATCAAGAAAAACCTCATCCCCAGCACTATTATTAAATGAAAGGCCTTTCAAGAAGTGATGGACCTAGAATTGAAAGGGAAAGGCAGAGATTTAAAAAGACACAGTTGTATATTTCAGAAAAAAGGTCTAGTAGCCAGAAGAGCAATATGGAACTCATAGCTTGATTGAAACAACATTTTGCATCATTACCATTGGTGTGAAACAGTGATGGAAATGAAACCAAAGGTGGTTTACAATTTCCTTTATAATATGTTCTGCAGTTCCTGATTACCTGAGGATGTTCTCCCCATTTACCTGCCAAACAACTTGATTATGAAGGTTCAAGCTCGCTACATCTACTCTTGTTCTGTGTCGAAACTGAGATGACAACATGGTATGTAAAGCATAAGCCACAGCATAGACAGAATTATAGATGCTGTAACTGTGACCAATCATGTTCATTTCAAAAATAATTTTAGGCAGGTTTTCCATATTCTCTCTCCCAGTGCAGAAATCTCCAACCACCTTGTCAACCAATGAAGTTTGAAATACACAATTGAA